ACACTAACAGTGTAGATAAAATTAATTCAAAAATAAAATCTAGTGTTACTTTACAAGATAGGGTCTCGTGGTCTTCCATAGCAAGTAGTAGCAGTTACAGAAACAAAAAGCACTAAAACATGCAATTGCCCTCCTTACACGGAACCAACTTACTTTAGAGGAGTTGGTCACTACCTTTACTGTGAGGTGAGAGATCAAGGGTTCAAATCATGTTTTCCATCAAAAAATTGTCACTTAATATGTCTTTACTTAGATCCATGTGGGCGCTTTGCACCCGTATGGTCCGATGGTGGTTTAGTCCCTATCAAAAAATTGTCACTTAATATGTCTTTACTTAGATCCATGTGGGCGCTTTGCACCCGTATGGTCCGATGGTGGTTTAGTCCCTATCGGTTCTCTGTGGAAATAAGAGTAGATATAGATGGTAGATGGTGACAATTGATCCCAAAAAAATAAAAGAACAAAGAAAATAGGGGTTATTCCTTTTCTCAGTTTTGTTTTCCCCAATGAATGGAACTCCTTACGGGAAATCGGCATGGCATGTTTTTCCAAGAAAGGAAGCTGACATCTAGAAATGAAAGGTAGAGCTCAAAAAATGGGAGGCACCAAATGTGACAAATCACAAGAAAATGAAATTATTGAATGGAGCATTGATGTGATACTAGGTGTTGGACCCCGCGGGTGTCGCGGGGTGCCCATATTATCTTGTTGGTGAGTGTTAACTGATGGTTTTTTTGTAAAGAAGATGTTTGTGTAAGAGATGGATTATAAACAGAAAAGTAGAAAACCATGCGTTTTTTATATATACATGATCATTGGGAATTGCAGCTTAATACAAAAGTTAGTTGTTATTTGTACAGAACAAAATTGTAGAAAGCTGCTATGATTCGTAAACAAAAAGTACAATTTTTTGTTTTACATCCAACTGGAATGTAAACTATTTAGTTTAGTTTTTGATGCTTTGTGCTTTCAGAGAAATCTGCCTCAAGATTGCGCTTGATGGAGGATGAGGTCTCTAGCAGCTTTGGATGTGGCGAGATTGTTTTGTCAGTGGTTGGGGTTGAAGATGCAGATGCTTCGGTGATGTTTGTGTCTGAAACAGTCTCCTCTGGCGTATTATTTAGGGGAGATGTTGGTCTTGTTAGCAATGTGTGTGGCGTGCTCTGTATGACTTGCTGAGATAGTGCTTCACTTGCTGATTGTTGTGGGATGAATGTTGTTAAAAAGTAGAGCGGCATATACTGTCAGACTTTAGAAATATCCGATATCTGTCTAGGTCCTGAACTTCTGTCAAGCTTCGAATAAAAGCAGAATATGGATTTTCATCAAGTATAGACCTCAGCTGTTGTACAATAGACTCTTTGAATTTGCCTGAGATAGCCATTCTATTTGCTAACTCATGTTCTGTATCATAAAAATACAGTTGCAAGTTTGATGCCTTGTCATCATCAGAAGGAAATAATGAGTTCATAAAATGGTATATCTGTCCTTGCACCCTAAAAGTATAGATACCATCATTCCTCTTGCTGAGATCTTTATCATAATGAACCCCCAGAGATGTGAAAGCAAACATGTTATTATAACTCCTAACACATTGTCTGAATTCTTTTGATTCAGGAGTGTTTGCTTTATAAAGCTGTACTAATCTATCAGGCATTTTGGTTGGTGCTAATTTAATCTCTCCAGAAGCACAGCAGAATCGAGGCAGCTCCATGTAATACCGTTTAGCATGGCAGTGAATACAATCTGGAACAAATGGCAAGATACTTGGCTCTGATTGTATCTGCTCTATGAGCGGTATATTTGTTCGACGGCGATGATTACCTAAAAGTATACAGCATGGCCAGTATCTGGATATGCAAGAAATAAAAGTATATTGACCAGTATAAATAGGATATAGGAGCAAGATTGAAAATTGATAACATACCCGGTCGAAGGTTTGAAGATGTTGCTATATTAGATCCTTCGTTTATGGATGAGTTTGAGGCTGAAAATTGAAAGTTTGAAATGCAAGCTGAATATTTTATGGAGAAATTAAGTGATTGAGTGAGCTAGCATGTTTCTCTGATTTCATATTGATAGTGAGTGGATGATTTAAAGAACGATATCACTACTACCTGAATGAGGAGGAAGAGGAAATTGGTGTACATGAACATGTGACGAAGCTGAATTAAAGAAACTCTGTGAAACCAAATCATCGTTTATAGCTGGACAAACTATATGAATAAAATATTAACAAGATGATCAAGCCTGCTATAGGTCAGGGGAAAAAAGGACACAAAAAAAGAGCACATAACAATAAGGGAAGAATACTACATGGATCAATGCTGGACACAGTTGAAGTTGATGGAATATCTGTGTTATCTGGAAGTGAAAACACAGGCAAATCCAAACAGAAACAGCCGACTGCATGTTTAGCTGGCAAATCATGATGAACAGGAACATCAAAAAGATTGTGCTCAGTTGTCTGAGGAGCAGTGGTCATAGGTAAAACCTGCGTTTCTGCACTCTGGGGTTCAATAGCCAAAAGAGCTGCCTTTTTATGTCGAACTAATTTTCTAATATATCTTTCGCGATCACGACGGCTTTTTTCTAAACGATATTCATCTTCTGAGGAAAATTTACGTTTCCGACCCATATGCAATTGTAGCCAAAATTAAGAAAATTCTGTTATCCATGACATCCAACAATCACAATCATAAATCATCTAAAGTTTCTTGGAGGAGACAAAACAAGCGTGAATGAAAGAGATGATTACCATTTAATAAGCAAAACGATAACAAACATAGAAAATAAAACACAACGAAGTAGAACAGGCTAAGCACTAAGCAGATGAGGAACAAATAAGTAAAGGAGAGATTGCTTTACCTGAACAATAAGCTTCGAATAGGATGGTTGAGCTGAGCTGCATGGAATAAACCGATAAGATCACAGAAAAGATAAATATAACATGGAAGTAGCTAACATAAGAAAAGTCAGAGTCCATGCAAACTAAAAACTTGCAACAAAGAAATGGAAATGATGGGGAAGAGAAAATGATAAAAGCATAATCTGAAGCATACGAAACAAAAATAAACAAACACAGTGAAACAGCAAAAAGTTCACCGAAGGAACAACGTAATAAACAGCTATATTAGGCGCAAAAGTGGAGAAATACAGTAAAGAAAAACAGGCAGCACCTGATTGAAGCGAGCGAGAACGAGAAAACTGGAAACAAAAATCACCAAAAGCTGGCACAAGATGGAGGCTTAACAGAAAGACGCAGGACAAAAGAGAAACATCTCTAAAACATTATAATAGTTGCTGGTATGCACGTAGAGAAAGTCAAAGCAAAGAAACTGACGGTGGAAAAGCTAATGTAGATATAGCACACAGAGTGCTTAACTATACAAAGAGCCTGTGCTTTGGTAAAAGCAAGCACATGCATGCATTAAATCCACGTAATGATTGCAAGTCCACTATGATAAAAGAACCAAACGAAGCAAGCATATCTGTAATCACCGAATGAACCAAATATAGCTGTAATGCGTAAGCTGTAAGCACGTAAGATGAAATTTGACCCAGTGCAATCTGCAAGGTGTAATCTGTAACCATGCAACACGTAAGGCAAAATTTGACTGTGTAATTTGTAACCATGCAACACGTCAGGCAAAATTTGACACACTCAAAGGAGAATTGCGCCACGTAATGTGAAAGGAACAAAGAAGAACCATGTAAGATCTGATGAGTAGCTTTAATTTAATAATCGAGAGAGTTTAATTTAATGGATTTAATAAGGTAGACAACCAAGTATCATTTTGTATTGAGCACATATACGTTATATTATGATATTCAATCTTAAAGCTAACAATAGCTAACAAATATTATCAATCTTATACACAAAAGTTCTAATTAGCTTTAATTTAATAAGTCACAAAACTAATTATCACTTTGTATCGAGCACATTTATGTTATGGTATTCAATCCGAAAATGCAATAGCTTTAATTGAATAATTGAGAGATCAATCTTATACACAAAAGCTCTAATTAGATTTAATTTAATAAGACACACAACTAATTATCACTTTGTATTGAGCACATTTATGCCATGCTACTCAATCTAAAAACACAATAGCTTTAATTTAATAATTGAGTAGTTTTAATTTAATACAACTAATTATCAGTCTGTATCGAGCATTTAATTTAATCGAACAAGTGAGCAGCTTTAATTTAATAATGAAGAGGGCTTAATTTAATCGAACAAAGCAGGGAGCACGGGTGATTTAATAGAACAAAGCCGGACAATTGATTTATAACTTGTAACTGGAGCTTCACACCTTCACGGGCACAGATTGAGAGCAGAGGACGTTGACGGCTACATATTGGACCACAGGACAAAGAAGGACAAATCGAACAGCCAAATTACAAAATAACCAGCGAAATCACTGTAGCAAGACCTTCGACGCCTTATGTAGTTAGAGATCTCGAACTATTTCTCTCCAATTATGGAGAGAATAGAAAGAGAAATGATCGTAAAACTATTATGGACCATATCATTGGTGGCCAACATCAAATTTATATGACTTTACTCTTTGTTTCCGAAATAATTCTCATCAACTGTTAGGAATTTGAAGAGGATGAAAAAAGAAATTTATATGAAAACACCACGTTGTTTGAGAAATTTAACTGGACACAAAAGAAGATGGACAATTAATTGATATGGTATGTAGAACTATTTCTTTCCAATTATAGAGAGAATAGTAGAATAAGAAAATTGATGGAAAAATCTTTTTGGACTATTTCGTCTGCCTACCAAAGAAAAGAAACGAGCAAAACCAGTCGAACTTCAAAACATAATGGCCGAAAATTGAAAAGCTTTGCTCCTATTCAAAACCATTACACTGGGCCTAAGATTTGCTTTAAGCGGGCTACCTCTGCTCCAACTCTGGGCCAACAACATGGAAAAGTTTCAGTACTAGGTCAGCCCAGATATAGTTTTTCTGCTATCAGTAGCCCATCATTCTGATTTCTCATCCCCAGTGTCCTTACAAGGAAGAATCCATTTTCTTCACTTTCTTCTCCCCTGCTCTCAGGTGTAAATCCCCCTAAAATCCCGTTAAAAAAAAAAATATAGGGAACAGGCCTGAAGGAAAAGGCGATGGGGCTTAAAAACTTCAATGGGACAGGAGTGGGTTTTGGTAGGTGTTTTTTTTAATTTTTTTTCTTTAATACCCATTTGCTGATGTAGAAATTCTTGGCATAATTTTGATTTAGCTCTGAATTTCGATTTGTGTGTTGTTTTTTACTTTTATCAAGCTTGGCCCTTTCTGTAACCTGACTGTTTGCAGTTGTTTTCTTTTTCAGGATTTGGCATTGGCTGCGGTTTTGGGGTGGGATGGGGTTTTGGTGGTAAGTTTGAAGTTTCTACTCTTTACTATTCTCATTCCTCTGCATCTTTTTCTTTTTCTTTTTGTTTATCTTTTTTTAATTCTATTCCTGTTGGTAATTCTAACTTTTCTGTGTAACAGCTTTTTTCCCCTTTTCTGGTTTTGTTTTTTAGCTTACTGTTTTGGAAAAACCAGGTGAGCACTAGCAGAATGTGAAACTCTTTGATGCTATATTGCCTCTTTAAGTCTTAGCACTAATAACCCGCTCTAAGGGCATCATGCTTAGCTGGGATGAGGATTGATTGATTGTGAATTTCTAGCTTTAATAATTAATCGTGATATATCCATGGAATTCGATGGTACTAGGATTTGAACTCGCCCTGTAGCAACTGCATCCGGGACCTCCTAACCTGGAATTTATGTTTCCCTCGGCCGTAATCTACTTGGGATTTCTGTAGTAAATTTTAAAAATCCTGTTTGGCACGATCAGATTCAGCTATGCTATGATTCCTTGCACTAATAAGTGAATTTTCCAGTCATAGGAAATCTTGCATCTGTGAACTTTTCTTTTTACAGCAAACCTCATTGTCAAGATATATGTACTATATATGAGTATTTGTGCACATTCCTTCAAATATCTATGAAGATTCTTTTCCAATTTTAGTTTATGGATGATTATGCTTAGAATTTAGCAACCTTAGGATGCCAAGGTTTATTTATCGTGCTGAGATAATGTATTTGTTAGATGAGTTTTACACCTGTCAAGGACTGCATTCTTGGTTCAGTGACCTTGCATTTTTGGCAAGCTGAATATTTTTTTTAAAATTAATCTTGTGTTGAATATTTAACAACTTAATATCTGTTCTTAATCTGAGGTAGACGAAGATATTTTCATATTTCAGGGTTAGCATAGCAATATTATTACTGTTTCAAACTCCAGAACATTGGCTGCTCACTGGAACGCATGCATCATCATTTATGCGTCATGCTACTCAAAAAGAATGAGTAACAATTTGCAACTTAGGCACCAGGTTTCCTGAATTTAGGTCATACTCAAACCAACTTTGTTCTAAATAGAGAATAACTGTGTCAACCCTTTGATAACAACTGAACTTGAAGATTTTTTTTTTTTTAAAGGATGTAGTTTTTTGTTTACAAGCGCCTAAAACATTTTCTAATTTTGGATGTTTCAGAATTGGATTGCAATATGTTGGTCTTTTGTCAATTTCAATTTACTATTACAGGTTATAACATTGTTCGATATATGAAATATTATTTTATGACACATTTAGTTATCAATGAAGTTACCATCTGTCAACCTTGGTCCATAGAATTGCTATTACTTAATGTCTATTCACCTGCCTAATTCTTAATACTTAATCTAGTTCTAAAACACAAATGCTATAATGGTATAATTGGTAACTTATTGTTTGTTAGATTAAGAATGTTTGAAAATTTTAGATGGGTGAACTGGTAATTACGCTAGAAACAGGTAGTTCAGCTAAGCTTTATTCCTGATACTATAGCAGTGGGAGTCATGATGTCATGGAGGGATTTCAACAATGTAAAGGAGTAATAGGGGACATGTTGTTGCAGGACAGTAAGATTAATTGTGATGCAGGTTTATCTATGTGATCATTACCCAACTTTTTGCTCAAATTGAACCTGTAATTCCTTCAGGTATTGCTTAAAGTACAAAATGATGGATTAATTGTGATGTAGGTTTATCTATGTTCTTTGACAGAAGATGATGGATTTTGCTGAGATTTCTTCTTTTAGTAATGTGTTTATAATGGTCAATAAGACGGGATAGATCTATGCATTAATGATGAAATATCTTGGCCATGTTTCTGTACTGTGCTTTACTTTTTACAGAGCTTTGATAGCCAATTGAAGTACAAAGCTTTCTGTTTTGTCCTATTTGGTTGCCGTTCACGCTTCCCTCTGGAATTTTATGGTGTAACTCCTCAGTGTCCTTATTTGGTGAATATATAGTACTGGATTCAGTTCTGATGGGTGTTGAAGAACAAATTCTACTCATTTTTCTGCGACATGGTTGAAGGCCTTTCTTGGCTGCAGTTGCGAACATTGTTCTTTCTTACTTAGTTTCTTATTTCCCCTTGGCAAATTGCTAGTATATCTTGTTTTCGATTTCTACTTGTACCCATCTCTAATCAATTTCCCTTAAATGTTGTGTCCTTATCAGGCATGCCTTTGAATTTTCTGGGCCTCGGTGTCGGTAAAACTGCATCTCATTTGATATCGTTCCCCCTAATATAACTTCTGTTATGACCTTGTTTGGATTCTGATGTATGCTCACTGATCTGAAGGTGGTGGATGCGGAGTTGGTGTAGGCCTTGGATGGGGATTTGGTGCAGCTTTTGGTAGTCACTACCGAAATTCAAGGGTTATATTTCAGGGGACGGATCTTGACGCCAAAGATTCTAGCAAAAGTAGCTAGTGCAAGGACTTATCAAAAAGCACTCAGAAACTATATGCGTCATGCTGATTTTCACTTACTGATTACTCCGTGATGTAATGACTACATTTGCACCAAAATTAAGTTTGTAAAGGCTTGCTTGTATTCCTTTTCGGCAGTCCTAGTTGGACATAGATTTTAGAGGTACCCGAAGTTAGGTCCTGTTTGATAACTTAATTCAGCACTTAAACTTAATGGATTCAAATATTAATATATTCAAACCGTTTGATAATCAAAAATTGAACATTTGAATTAATTAAGTGACACTGAATTTTCTGGATAAAACTTGCTCTCAAATTAAATAATAAATTATTCACTTATCATTGAATGTGATATGCATTCAAATATATTAAATTTAATACTTAACAATTCAATAACATAATAGATTCAAACTTTCGATTTCAAACTTTAGTTTTATGTAACGCATCCTTAGTTGAATGTCTCAGTATTCGTAGCTTTCTTACATACCGCTGGTTCACAACACTGTAAATTGACTTGTGATGAGAGTCTGGGATACAACTTTCCGATTATAATTGGTAAAATCTTTCATTAACCTCAAAACGTTAGATTTAGAAGTTAACAAGGGCAAGTAACCTCAGCCATTTCCACAACTGTTCAAACCTAAGTAAACATGCAACCTGACACAGCAAATGCAACCAACGATGGTACTTCTGCAGCAGAAAGAGGACAGGCACGCATTTAGATCTCCAGATATGCCCACTCCTGGATCTCTCTCTCTCTAAGATTGCCCAGAGGTCAAATGCATGACCCTCGACGGTGGAGCAGTGTTCAAAATCATAATAATCGGGGTTTGTCGCACCTGCTCCCACGTTATCGAAGAGGACAACACGATGGTCGTGAAGCAGATGGGACACCAAGCACTTCCATATAAACTGATCAGTCCCAAAACCATGAGCAAGCACTGCTTGCTGCTCTCCTGATGCTGCTACATTTACATTGTGGGCGTCTAGTATACCCGTTGCCTTTCTTCTTCTATAGAAGGATGTGGAGTAAATAAGCTGTGCCAGAAAGTTGGGCAGCGTGACTTCCTTTTAAGCAGATGGAATTTCAGAAGCCCAATTAAGGTGAGGTAGGATCTTAGCAGCCATACATGCACTTCCAATCTCAAACACAAAAAGGTATCTGAAGTGAAGGCAGTTGGTCCAGGTCCGGTTGGCCCTCAGCTAGCCAAGCGCCTTTAAAGAGAGGGTACTTCAAGCAAGGCGTTATCCAGTAGTACAAGTGGAAGTGGACAGCGGACACTGCTCCAACCCGAAAAGAAGCTAAGCTAGAGCAGGTTGAAGGGTAAATGGTGAAACTATTAAGGTGGTCGTCTAGAAAGTAGAAATTATTTAAGAGAACCTTAACCCATGAGGCATTGCGGGGGTTCAAGGAATCTCCGAAATAAGAAGGTAAATGGTGAATAATTTCGATCTGGTCCTGAAGAAAATGAAAAAGATAGAATCAGGATAAGAACTTAATGATGCAGTAGAGGGGTTTAAGCAATCTCCGAAGCAGTCACCCTGCAACTACAAGATACAAGCACAAGACATTTGCTTTCCCAAATTGACAGAAGACATAATGTCACAAACCTTTTGGCTTCCAATTCACTGGATAACAACTTCAATGAGCACGTTTTTAACTATTGAAAGTCCTTTACTGGTGCAACATATTTGATGAATCGAATACATGAGGGAATAAAACTAATATTAGGCAAGCATGACTAGCACCACGAACCTCATAACTGGAAAAACAAAATATAAAACATAACTGTGGAATCAGATCTGTTATTTTACGGACATAGAAATGAGAGGACGCCCAGACAAATTCTACACAAAGTTGATACTGTCTCGTTACTTTATACATCATGGCTTTCCAAGAGAACACTATAATGCTATAGGACAAAATATCATGAAGCAACACTGACGAAAGTAAGTGTATTTTGGCTTCCAAAGAAGCACATGGTACAAGAACTATCATTGCACATAAATGATAAAAGCGGGACTCGAAAAACACTGGAGAAAAGGAAAAGTAATATGCTGCATCATCTAGCCAGTGGAGTAGAGCTAATTATCCTGAGATTATACATTTTTACAACAAATTCACCCACCATCATCTGAACTAAAATTTAACAATTATCAGAAGAGCATTAGGTGGGAATTACTGTAGTAAAATTGATTTGCAAACCTAATTAGAGCTTTCATTCCCAAGCATAAAATCAGGTGAAAGAGAAGCAAATTGTAGCTCTGTCCATCACCTAATAGCATCAAGAATGCCAGCATACCTCCGTGACTGCCAATACAAGGATCATAGTGTTCTTCAGAACCCACGAGATGCCAATAAAACTGCAGAGACAATAAAAATCCCACATAAGTATCCCACAAGGACAAGGCATGCAATTTAAACTTTTAAGTGCCTATCTCCATTCTTGTTCAGACAGAATTACACACATATGCTTCGCCAAATCAGATTATAACATAGACAAGCCAAATTGCAAGATATGTGTACAAACATAATCCCACACCACCTCACTGGATACTGGGAGCAGATAATTTTAGACTAGCTATTTGCATATGATACTTTCATTATTATTTAAAAGGACCAAATTTGACATTGATCTGTGAGAGTCTCCAAATAGAAAAAGAACCATATCAACTCGGTTCCGCATTTGTACCACTTCATTGGCAAGCCAAAATACATTGTTCGTCATTATTTCCCTTTCTTTTAATGCCACTGTGGGTGGATGGGCTTGAGGCTGAAGATATCTGGTAAAGCCTTAAAAGTGTACACCTAGGTAAACGCAAGTATGTGAATAATATCATTTACCAAGCAATCAAGGCACATGTATCTAGGATTATTAAGGGTTGCAGATCTTAGCACTACTGACTTTGAACTCAAAAGAGAAGAATGACACAGATGCTTGTCAAACAATTATTAAAGAGTCGGAGAGATCTGCTAGGAGTTCATACAGCAAATACCTCTTATTATAATACGATAAACTATACCAAACTTACAGTTGCACAAGATTAATTTTTTTAAAAAAATCTCAATGTCTTACAATGACAAAACAATTAAAGATAGGACCACATTTAGGCAAAATCAGATTAGTTTAGTAAAAGATGTCATAATCAATATGATTAATTTTAAAGCCACTACCATGCAATCATTAGATCTTATTCATCCATAATCCCCTTTATAATACCCATTATCCAGAATATAATTCTTATACATGATATGTCAAAATTCATCACTGCCAAAAAGCTTATGTCCACCAACTACCCCACTTCATAAACAGAGGACTTTACGCCATTCTAGATGCTACGAAGGTGGACTTTTTACTTTTCCCCATGCTTTGAGTATATTTGGCATCAAATTAGCCAGCATAACCAAGGACAGGACACATGAATTTCCTCTAATCTCACTTTGCCTGTGTGATTCAGCCTGACATTTTGCTATACAAGCTATCTCAGACGTGATTCAGTAAAATTTCCTGTAAATCACCTAACATGCCTCGTGAGTAGCGGCTCAATCAGTCCCAAAACAGATCATATTCCTATTGATAGATCACTCAATTTAGTTACTGGCAAAAACAATCAAATAATCAGGTATCTTTCCAGGAGGTAGCATGCACCAGAAATTCTAGTCATTAAAAAAATGAAGGACCTTTTTCCTTTGGCATATCAATATTATACAGTTATATTGATTTCGGATATAGGCATGGCAAGAAAAATAAATCATATCACTGGAGGAAAAATTCAACTGAAGAAACAACATTCCTTGTTAACTGCCAAAAAGAAAAAGGAACCAAAAAAAAAAAAAAGAGGCATCCACTCACTAAGATGGCAAATTACTGCAACTTGGAAGAAGCATATGGTACCAAGATATTTTATAATACTAACACACAGTTAAAATAAAGAAGCAATGTACTGTCAGGAAAGAAATCAACCCCAAAAGCATCAATAATTTTAAAATGCTACTAGATTAAGATCAAAGTTAGTATTTTTAGAATTCTAAAATATTTCATGCAACAAACATCCTTTCTCAATGCTACATACAAACATAATCAGGCACGGTACAATCATCTTATTATCAGTTATTCAAAAGAATCGCAGGAAACAAAATCAAAGCATTAAACCAACATAAATCGAAAAACTTTCATTTGATCTGATTAAATTCCCATAAATTTCTATATTCTCATGCAATTCAATCCTAAAGAAAAAAGACAGTTTAAAATTTCTAGCTGCAGCCACATCTAGATATCTCGAGTTAATCAACATTGCTATAGCTCATAAAACTTTCTCTTTGAGGACTAGAAGGAATAAACATTAATTGCACCATAAGCAAAATTCTCAACATCTGCTTTAAATATCAGAATCAAAGAAAGAAAGCTTCACCATCCATTTCAAAAAGACAAAAAGCTCCATAATCAGCAGGCTCACCAATCACACAGAGAAGGATGACAGCTGAAAAGACGACTTGCATGGGTCTACTATACTGCATGTGATACTGAGATCTTTGGAGCTGTCTTTGGATGGCGCCATACCAACCATAAAGTTGCTTATCATAACATTCATCACAACCCTCAAGGCAACTCTTACTCTTCTCGTAACACAAGTTAATGCCCTGCATGTTAAAAAGTTCATTTCATCATAATCAATAACATGCTATATACGTGAATAAAATCAGCAAATGAGTCTATATAAAGCAGTTTAAAAATCGCACTAACTCGAGTCAAGGGCTGAGTTCGAGGTAATGGAGTATCAGCTTCTGGATGTTGATCTGAAAGCTTCAATTTCCTATAACCATTCTTTGACCACTTCAACTTAGCTGCAGATTCTATCGTATTCAGAAAACCAGAAAAGCTCGGAATCTTTGGCGGTGGTAGATCTGATTGAACATCTGGTGAACTCTGAGGCAATGCATCCTCGGCAACTGAAACCTTCCAGTAACCCATGTCAGCATTAGCACTAGCAGTTCTGCGGTGCCCAGGCAACTTCACCTCCTTACTCTCCAGTTGCCCCAACTCCAAAGAATGAGAAGAATTTGTAGGATGCTTCAGTTCTGATTGCTTATCACCCTCCTGCAAATTTGCTATTTGCTGCTCTCTACCATGGAGTCTTCCAAAGTTTTTATCCCCAGAAAAGGACGCTGACGGTCCTGAGAGAAACAAAGCCAGCTCGTCACTTTCTCCCTCATCCAGATGTACCCATGGATTTGGTGGTTTTCCCCGAGAAACAGCTGATTCATTTAACGAGGCTTCAACCTTTGAAATCTGGCTCCCGATTGCAATAGCGAACTCCCTATGTCTATCCTTGGCATCATCAGCTGCATTATTCGTGTAGCTTGAACTAACTGCTCGTTCAAATTCCTCCAACTGCATATCATTGGCAGAACAACCGTCAACCCAATTCACTATTTGTTGCAACACCAAAAAGTTGGAAGAAACATAAAAGCACCCAACATAAACAACAGGCTACAACACAACTATCTAACACATTTGTCATTAGCTTTATGAACTCTTTTTTTCTCCTTTCCCTTTTGCTCGCTTTAGAGCTAGAAACTAAGCAAACAGTGCATAGAAGTGCACAATGTGGTTAAAAACGCGTGATCATTTTCTAGTACTGCCAGAGGGGTGTCAAACCTGCCATTTAGTCGTGCCAAGGGCAGTACGAAGGTCTCTACGAAGCTCATCGGAGTTCCAAAGACTGCCGGAATCCTTCATAGAATGAATCCATGTCCTATAAGTTGACTCCATCCTGCCAAAAAAAACATATTACAAACGAATTTTTTTTTAAAAAAACCCAAAAAATTATCTCAAATCCGGCCAAACACTGCAACCGACATAATCCAGATCAACTTCTCACGAAAAAAGCCAATTAATCATAAAAACTGCAATAAAAATTCCAAAAAGGAAAAAGCAAGGATTTTTACGAACTTTGAATTTAAAGTTGGTACCTGTCGGCAGATTCCTGAACCTCCTCGGCGGCAGAGAAGAATGGATCTTTTTCCCACCGATCAAATTGTGAAGCCATATTTTTATTAACCTAATTGCCAAGATTTCAGTCTCGCTCACTTCTTCCTCTAATTTGATTTTCCAAAAAATAATACAAATAATTTACACCAAAAAGAATGTTTCAAAGAAATAAACCCTAAAATCAAAAAATCGCTAAAAAGAATTAGAATCTCCGGCAAAAAAAAATAGAAATTCCAGATCTATAGATTATCTGTATTCAATTATCCAAATCAGAAATAAAAATAGAAAGAATTTAAGGCGCGAGAGGGAAAGGTATTGGATAATCTATCTGGAATTAACCTCAAATTACGGTATTGTTCGGATTTATCATTTTTTTCCTGTTGTGATACATATATACTTTTTGAGTTTTTTTATTTTTTATTTTTTTAAGCGTGGCGGATGTAATTGTAGCATGGGGCGACCTTCCAGGTAGGCGGCGAGTGGTTGTCGTTGAGGAGTAAATCTGAAGGTAACGGTGTCGTTTTCGATGGTGTTGGACCGTGTTGGTTTTTTTAAGAGGATTTTAGGTGCGTGGTCAAAATAAGTGTACAATGATTGAGTTGAGACGAGTAAGACGCAAAGATAAGAGCCAATCGACTATTCTTCTTGAAGTCCGAGTCGGTTGACAACTTTTCTCCTTCCAGACTTCCGGTGGATGAAAAACAGGATAAGAGTTTATTTGGATGATTTATTTGAGATAATTATTATAGCATTTTCTGTGATGTAATATATATGAAATAAAAAAATAATTGAAAAAATAAAAAAAATAATTGAGATTTGTGAGACAAATTATTTTCTCTATCCAAACACACTCACTAGTGTTTACTATTGAACAAATAACTGTTTTCGTATGTTTTTTTTAGGGGCGGATTTAAGGTGCCCCACTGCTCCCTTAAATTCCTATAATACTTCTACAATTTTAATATAATTTTAAGTGTGCCCCCAGAGTTTTCTTAAAAAGGATGTGAAAGAATTACGTGATTTTTTAAGTTAGTTCATAAACTAAAATTCTAAGAAGATATGTGGGGCACAAATTTCATTTGAAATAAGTTAAAAAAAAATATTTTCATTTCAACTAGCAAGTATCAATCATATCATTCATTTTCTTTGGGCTCCACTCCCCAATTTCTCTTCCCTCCTCTGGGCCCCCATTTGTCCCCCACAATCGAGAGCCACTACCTTTCACAACCAAGCAGTTAACTACTCTTTCTCTTGATAAATTCATCTAATCATATCATTCACTTCCTTTGTCCCTACTTCCCAATTTCCCTTCCCTCTACTGGTCCCTCATTTTGCCTCCACAACTGAGAGCCATTCTTATTTCCACAACCAAATTAGATATCAAAATATAAAAACTTGCAGTGAACAATTGTAAATAGTTTAGTTTATTTTTGAAATAAATTTATTATTACATTAATAATTTTGAATTTGTCTTTTTATGTTTTTCATGGAATATATGCATCATTTGTATTTTTTGGTAATTTTTTTTTTTTGCTTAAAAAACTAGAAAAATAGTAGGTAAAAAATTTTAGTGTTACTTTTGCCCCCACTACATCATATCATTATAATATATTTTTCTATAAAAAATTTAGAAAATAATAATCCAAATCAAACCCATTGTTACTTATGTAAAATGCTGATTATGGTTGAAATATGAATGATGAAAACACATAAATACTTTATTTAGGTAGCAGGACTGGGTTTGTTTGTATAGAGTATTATTTGAAATATTATTTGAAATAATTATTGTAAAAGTTTTTGTGATGTTATGTATGTGAAATAAAAAAGATAGTTGAAAATATAGAAAAATATGTTTATGATGCAAGTGAAATATTATTTGGAAAAATTTGCTATCCAAGCACTCCCATTATTTGGAGTAATTCTTGATGTTCTTAAGTGCTTTTGCATCTAAAACCAACTATTTCTATAATAGTTAGTCACCAGGAGACTTTTAAAAAACTATGGCTCCGTTTGGATTAGCTGTTTTTGGGGTTGTTTTTCAAAAACACCACTGTAGCATTTCGAATCTGAAAAACAAGTCCGTTTGGATTAGTTGTTTTTGGGGTTGTTTTTCAAAAACTATATGAAAAACTTTTACTGTAGATTTTTTTGGATTATTTTTAGAGGTATTTTTGAAACATATTTTTGAGTATTTTTAGAATATTATAATTTTTATATTTTTATATAAATATACATTTATTCATTTATAATACATTTATATTTACAAATGTATAAATGTATATTATTACAAATGTATAAATGTATATTATTATAAATGTATAAATTATAAATGAATATTATATAAATGTATAAATTATAAATTATAATTTTTATATAAATATACATTTATGCATTTATAATACATTTATAGATATTTATAAAAAAATATATTTATATATTCATATAAAAATATATAAATGTATTATATTATATATAATACATAATATAAATATATTTATAAATGTATAAGTGTATATTATTATAAATGTATAAATTATAAATGAATATTATAAATATATTATAAATTATAAGTGTATATTATTATAAATGTATAAATTATAAATGAATATTATAAATGTATCAATTAATATATTATAAATATATATTAATATTATGTAGAAATATGTTTATATAAATAATATAAATGTATATATGTATTAATATTATGTATAAATGTAAAATTAATATTATGTATATTAATATAAATGTATAAATGTATTATATTATGTATAATACATAATATAAATGTATATTTAAATGTATAAGTGTATATTATTAAAAATGTATAAATTATAAATAAATATTATATAAATGTATAAATTAATATATTATAAATATGTATTAATATTATGTTGAAATGTATTAATATAATTAATATAAATGTATAAATGTATTAATATTATGTATAAATGTACATTTATATAAATGTATAATATATTATATATTATATTATGTACAATTTATATAACATATAATATTTATGCAAATATATTATAAATATATAAAATATATTATAAATAAAATAAATATTTATAATATGTATGTATAAATATATAATATTAGAAATGTATAATATATATAATATAATTTATATATAATATACATAATTGAAATATACACATTAATATATATTATAAAACAAAATTGCATAAATATATTTATAAATTTAAATATAAATAAATGTATTTATATAAATATATAATATTATACATAATTGAAATAAATATATTTATATTAATATAATATATATATATATATATAATATACATATTAAAATATATAATTAAAATATATTAAAATATAATTGAGATATACATATTAAAATACATAATTAAAATATACAAATTGAAATATACTTATTAAAATATACAAATTAAATATGCATAATTGAAATATATTTGGAGTTGTTTTTGATATATTGTTTGGATATAGTGTTTTTGAAGTTGTTTTTTAAATACACATTTACTGTAGCATTTGGAATGTGAAAAACAGTTTTTCAAAAACAGGCACAAAAACACTCAATCCAAACGGACCCTATACTTATGTATAGGTCAAGGGGTCAAATTCCTTTGTCTACATTATAAAATCTAGAATTTTCTGAAAAATGTTGTCAGCAAGTGCACAGGCATTCGTCTAGACTAAAATTCAGAATTTTCTGAAAAATGTTGTCAACTAGTGCATAGACATTCGTTTAGACTGGTGACAGTTCAGTCTCCTCCGATTTCTCTTTGAATCTCTTCAAATCCTCCTTCCTCTAGTATAGAGTAAGTCTAGATCTATCGTATCTCAGAAAAAAAAAAATGCTTTTGCATCTAAGGTTCAAATTTTTTAATAGTAGAAAAATTAAATTATAAAATATATTCAAAAGTGGTTTTAACTTATTCTGATTTTCTCTACATTTACATAAACATGTCTTGCGAGATCTACACAAACGAGAACAAGCTTTTTTTTGGGATATGCAATTTTACTTTATTACTAACATTTAAATGATGACTCATCTTAGGGACGAGTTTGCCTAGAACAATTATAATGGGATATCCATTCCGATTATAGTTGAGCAAGACTTAAAACATAGGAGTGCATGCCATACTTTGAGCGTATTTGGATTATACATTGGTTTGTTTGGATAAAGTATTATTCGAAATATTATTTGGAATAGTATTTTTTGTGATTGATGTATGTGAAATATAAAGGTGGTTGAAAATATAAAAAAGTGATTTGAGAAATGTATTTATAATGTAAGCAAAATATTATTTAGAAAAATTTGGTATCCAAACATTATTTCTGCCTTATTTACACACACTGATTTACTTGCATTATCAACACATTTTTTAATCATTTTTTTATCTCACACACATCACATCAACAAAAATGTTACAGTATTTTTTCACAAAATTATCTCAAATAATTTATTATCCAAACACACTACTTGTTAACTAATAATAATAATATTTGATGTATAATAAACATACTAAATTACTAATAAATAGTTTTATTAAATACATATACAAACTTAGTACTTAATATTATTTGGGTTGTGTAATAAATAATATTCAAGGCAATAATGCAAAATTTTAATCCTTGTATTGGTTGGTCTATTTTTGGCTCCAGAGATCATTTTCTGTACTAATAATGCAAGGACTGTTGCCTTCTTTTTTATCCTTCCATTTTCCAATACTTATCGTTTCTAGGTTGCTACTTGCAATTTTATTATGTCTCGGAATATTTGTCTTCCTTTAAGAGTTTTAATAGTTGTATTGATTGTGATGACTTATGAATTAAGGCGTATACAATGGATGACTTATATGCTTATGTGATATCTCAAAGGATTCTTATGTACATGATACATTTGATTGAAATTTTCATATATTTTATTGAATTACTTGTTTTTCAGTTGAAATCCAAACCTCCAAATAGAAGTTTGGACAATAATCAAATTTTTCCCACAGTGACAGTGCATACACTATTAATATTGGATGAATGACAACTATGCAAAAATTTGAATTTGAAATTTAACTTTTGCACGCATGTCATGAATCTAACGATGATAGTGTATATACACCGTCAGTGTAGAAAATATTTACTTATTATTTAATCTCAAAATATTTCAACTCGATTAATGGTTCTATACTTGCTTTGGAGCATTAAATCTTTGTTGATCATATTGAATTTGTACTCAGTTGATGATTTGAATTGATTATAGATTATAACTGTGACTATTTTTCATATCTTCGTTTGCTTTAGTTTTTCAAATTATAGAATAAATTCAAATTCATAATTCATAGTGTATACAACGTCAGTGCAGGAAAGATTTACTCTTAAATAATTTGTTTTACAAATTTCAATCACCTTTTTATCTCACATACATCAGATTACAAAAAGTGCTACGATAATTATCTCAAATAAATCATCTAAATAAACTCTTATCCAAATAAACATGCCTCCAAAGATTTTCACTAAATTTTTTATGACAAAGACTTACAATCAAGTTTCAAATTTAATACTAACAATCAGATTATAGGATGTTGAAGACCGGCACTAGTACTAACAGCTGTCTCCTTGGGAAATTGAGAACCCTCTATTTTGTCACAAAAAATTGAGAAAACCCGAAATGGGGAGCCTATTGCCATATCTAATAAAGCAATGGCAGATTAGTGGAAATTACATAAACCTCCAGGGTCTTTAGTGAATAACGATTTTGACACTAATGCCACTTCTAAAATGCTAAATCGAAAAAAACCCCACTAAAATTTTTTTTTCTAAGTTTCCAACCCCGCTCAAGCATTCTTCTTTAATCTTAAACCCACACAGCAGGATTTTCTTCTCACTCTCTAAAACCCCATCCCAGAAAGCAACCAACCATGGAAAACGACGAGTTAGTCTGCGAGGCAGCTCGAAACGGCGACGTTGGAAAGCTCAAGACCTTAATTGACTCTGGAGCTGACGTCAGCTGCTTCGATAAAGATGGCCTTACTCCCCTGATGCACGCCGCCAAGCACGGCCATGCTGAGGCTGTTAAGTCCCTCCTCGAAGCCGGCGCCCCCTGGAATGCTCTCTCCCCATCTAACCTCTCCGCCGGCGACTTCGCAATGGATGCCGGCCACCAGGACGCCTTCGACCTCCTCCTTAACGCCGGTCTGTGGATTCAATTCTTGCTTAAACCTTCGATAATTATTATCACCTTTTTTCTTTCAACAGTTGCATTTGCTTGAATGTTTAGGAATTCAGTTAATGAATATTTAGGAATTCAGTTGATGTTGAAATTTTGTAGGACCCAGTTGATATAGCATTGGCATTAATTTTTAGCTCGGCTCAAAATGGACCTGGATAACTATAAAAATGTAGTTTTTACAAAAAGAAAAGAAATCAAGATATTCGAGCAGGACCTGGGATCGACATGATAAAAACTTGGTTGAGCTTGACTTGTGCAATAAGCAAGTTAAGGTTGAACACAATTTTAAGCTTGATGAGGAAGAGAATCAAACTTAGGTTGAATACTAATAGTGTCGGGCTCAGTTAGGCTGATTTTGCACGTAAGCTGTTTGGAGTGGCATTTTCTTCATTTTTTGGTTGTAGCTGATGCTGAATTTCAAGTACTAGTTTAGTTTGGAAATGCTTTCTTTTTCCCTTTTTATTATTTTTGGTGGTTGTTTCTGAAATTTAACATTAGGGAATTGGTTTCTCTATTGTTTTCTAATAGGGATACAAGCTGAGCTGGTGCTAGGAACAATTGCTAGGAAAGGAAGTGAAAATGGGGGATCCAATGTTGATTACTTGGAAGATAGAGTGAATTTTAGTGAGGACAAGTTGATGGATACGGAAGATAAAGCAGTAATGATGGCATGGGAAAAGCCATTGATGGAGGCTCATGCAAAAGCTGTTTGCTCTGGAGGTGGACACATTTTGAACATTGGATTTGGGATGGGCCTTGTTGACACTGCTATACAACAGTACAATCCCACGAGTCATACCATTGTTGAAGCTCATCCAGGGGTGTATAAGCGTATGATTGACTCTGGGTGGGGTGATAAGGAGAATGTGAAGATCATTTATGGTCGGTGGCAAGATGTCCTTGATCAGCTTGGATCTTATGATGGTAAGATGACATTTGCTTTATCCGCTTCCATATTCACACATGAATTAGTGTTAGTATAGGCCTGAAGAATTTCAAAAATTGTTTTAAAGCTAATTCAAAGTAGTACTTCATAAATAATCAGATTGTTTTTCTTGTTGTGACTGGCATCATTTTCATGGAATAATAAGCTCTGCTGAAAATTATTGAAACCAAATGCTGATGAGACTATACCTTGTAGATGAATAAATACATGACATATTGTATACAATATACACTTATATCTTAGAGACAATTTAATTTGTTTAGCATATTTTGTTTCCTTACAGACATACGTGCGTTCAGCATGATTATATAGTCTACTTATATTGTATAGAGATGTTTGAATTTATAGAGTCTACTAATAATAAATTGAAGATATCTATGAAGTGCATAGCTGTGAGATTTATCATTTTTTTTCTTGGTTGGTCATGAACTATCACCATCACTATCATCTTTTCTGATAACTCTAAGAGAAACGTCTGTGCATGTGGCTTCTGCTGTAATAGTATTTGAGAAGGGTCATGAGTTAGCAACCTTAAGTGGTAGTAAAGGGGTATCCCTTGTATTGCATGGATTTGGATTCACAATAGAGCAACTTTACCTCTAAGCCAATTCTCAACATAACTACTTGTTACTCCTAATCGAAAGACACTTTAAGCATTTTTTTTTTGCCAACTCGTCAAAAATCTTCCTGTGTGATGTGAAAATGTGCCTGGTTCTTATTTGTTCCATTTGTACAGGGATATTCTTTGACACCTATGGGGAATATTATGAAGATATGAGAGAGTTTCATCAACATCTTCCTACACTTTTGAAGCCTGGAGGCATATATTCATTCTTCAATGGCCTCTGCGGAAGCAATCCTTTCTTTCATGTTGTTTACTGTCAGTTGGTCTCTTTAGAACTCGAGAGTCTGGGTTATTCAACGCAGCTGATACCATTACCTGTAAAGGACTGCTTGGGTGAAAAAATTTGGGAGGGTGTGAAACATAGATATTGGCAGTTAGATACATACTATCTCGCTGTTTGTCAAGCTGTGGAGGATTCTGAGTGATACTTTACTGTAATAGCTTTAGAAAATCTTCAAAAAAAAAAAAAAAAGAGATTAGTATGCATTATTGCACTTGATTAGAAATATCTGAATGTTAGACTGCTGGAATAACCTTAACGACTCTTGCACTTTGTGTGCCTTTCGTATTCTAATGACCATTGTAGTCCTGCCTTGAAGAATTTTCATTCACTACAATTCTTCATTGTGCTATTTGTCTCCAGCATTTTACATAGATGTAAGAGCCTTGCATCTAATAGAAGGAAAAAGAGGAAAGAAGAAAAGGCTCATTGTTTTGATTTCCAGCATGTACGGTTAAAGATCTGCAGCAATATTTAGGTTTGTTATGTGGTGTGCGTTGAAGTATCCCTTTGCACAAAATTTTGGATCTGTAAGGTATCTTTAGTTTCGAGTTGATCATCCCAGAAGTTGTTAGACCAATAAGGATCCATGTTTATACACAAAGAAAGAAAGCAAAATGAAAGCAGCCTAATCTCTTGCGGCCACTTGCCACACTTTGTTTGCATGGGCTCTCGCATTATTCATGCAAATTGCCATCTCTACCAGAATCATACCCCACGCTTTGAGACTTCTGTGCATTCTTTCTGCAACATCCTCACTCGCTTTGTACAGCAGATGCATAAGCCAACAATTAGCATCTCCTATATATATGAGAGCTGCCACCGAAATAGACGAGCAGATCTCCCTTTCTGCTATAAATCAGTACTACTAGTTGTTATCAATTATAAAGTATGTCATTCGTCAAGGCTCTTGGCTTGCATGTTTAAGTTATTTTCGACTTCCTTGCACCATTTTCTGAGCCTTAACTTCCTAAATTTTGCCTCATTTCCGTTTACATTTCTTTGAAATATTTTCTACGTTCCTTATAGTAAGGATTGCCACCAAGAGTTTCCGTTAAATTTAACCTATGCAACTTTGTGAGAAAGACAATGGCACATCATGATGTTGGTTTGTTGAGTCTCATTTTCCTGCTTGTGGTGTGTCTAGAGTTTTATGCTTGTGTAGCTGTCGAAGCTACAAGGCCTGAGAAAACCTTGGCTGTTAATCAGTATCATATAGGTAAAAGGCATGAGAAGAAGTACGTGAATAGGGCAGCCCATGTGGGGTTGACAGCTGGTAATTTTGGTAGCGGCTGGAATGGTGGTGGTAGTGGTGGCAATGGATATGGATCAGGTTCTGGGGGCAATGGTGGTGGATATGGGGCTGGAATTGGAGGCAGCAATGACGGCAGTGGATATGGCTCTGTAGGTGGTAATGGTGGTGGTTCCGGGGCTGGAAGCGGAGGCAGCAATGACGGCAGTGGATATGGCTCTGTAGGTGGTAATGGTGGTGGGTCGGGTGGAGGTGGTGGCAGTGGGTCTGGATTGGGTGGAGGTGGTGGTCCAGGCTGTAAATATGGTCCAGGTGGTGGTGGTAATAGTGGTGGATGGAATGGTGGTAGCTATGGTCCTGGTGCAAGCAGCAGGCAAGGGAGTCGGGGCAGCAGCTATGGCTATGGCAGGGGCTGGCGCGGGGGCCCTGGCTCAGGATATGGCAGCGGTAGTGCTGGTCATGGCAGCGGAGGTAACAACGGAGAAGGGCAGTATGGAATCAATGGTGGGCGCCTAGACAGGGACAAGCAGCAGCTCCCATGCAGCATGAAACCATGACATAGCCAAGGTGTTTCCTGAGCTATAATTGCTCCATTAGTGAAGAAATAAAGAGCACTTTCTCCAGTGTAATAATTCTGCAGTTTGCTAATAGCTATGCTTGCTATATATCTGCAACAGTGATCTCCAACTAGTGTATAACTTCCACTGTTTGAGAATAATAACGTTCTTATTAGCCGTGGCCTTGTATGTGCCGAAATCAACTATAGGTTGTGCCCGTCAGTTGGAACCAAAGCTTCACATCGCACAAAATTAAGGATCACACTATCTAAAGGCAAGCAATAATGCTGTGACAAGGGTGTTGAAGCCAAATCTTTTAACAATTAGAGAAACACAATACAGGAAAGAAATATAATCCAATGAAGACCCAAGTACGTGAAAAGAATTATTGATTAAGTCAAGAGGCCAATCGATCTCTGGACAAATGCTGATGTTCCATATATACATATATATATATATATAACTTGCATGACCACTATCATAATCATCACCAAGGAGAGATGAATGATAGCAAACAGCCAAACGGTTCAAATCCACACTGCACATGGTTGGAAAAATTACATTGTGCTTTTATTTCGGGAGAAGGAGCCAAATTTGTTGCCAACACAAGCGGTTAATCAACTTTCTCATTCTTCGTCCTGGAATTGGAAAGCAAATTCTGTCAGAATTATCGTATCATGTGTAGCAACAGGTGATTATCTAAAACATGATCAGTGGAGGAAATGCAGAGTGATTTAGAAATTTGAGGGGCGAAGGCAACCGAACCTAAGAGGATTGGATAAAGGCAGTCCTCAAGCAAAAAAATGGCGATGTTAATTTACAGGTGGACTTGGACTGTTCATCACGAATGCCAGCAAAACCTTGGAATTAATACCAAAGCAAGGACACTCAAGCCATCTAAGTGGTTTTCAGCATTGTAATAGATAGCAATGACGGGGTAGGATGACTTGAAGTTCAAGAGAAAATCATAACAGAGATTCCTAAAATCAAGATGAATATGTAATCCCCTGACAACCTTAACATTAACCATTTACACAGTAAATGAAATAGAAAGCTGGAATTGCCGCGGATTCCAATCATCATCATTAAGAAAAAGCACAAGATCAGTATATGCCATGCTGGACCAACCAGCATACTCAACATCAACCTAAAGCCTCAAATGCTGAAACTATCAGTAGTCTTCAATGAAGCTCCTCAAATAAGCCTTGCTGAAATAGAAAATAAGGGCTGAAATAACAATTCTTAGATCTCAAGGGGATGTTGTATGACAGGTCCTTTTTTTTTTTTTTTTAAAAAAATTTTGTTGGTCAGATTGTAGCCAAAACTCAGACTACATAAATAATTTCAATTAAGACCACAATATGCTGTCAAAGTTTGCCCAAAAAAGATCTCCAGAAAATAAGCTTTCAAATGGACTAATACCAAATCAGCACGTACACAACTTAACTACCTCATGCCTCTCAGCAACTCAACCTCATTGATCTATTCCCCTCAGTAGACCAGTAACAAGAAGCAGAAGCTACATTATAGTATGAGACAGCATAGTATATAAATCATTATGACCTCGAGAAAAAATGAAGCAGGAAATAACTGAATTTTCCTGTCATCTAAGAACCATATTCCTATCTTTAATGCTTTGACTAGAAGGGATGCAGGAAAGTAATGTATTTAACTAGTTTCCTTGAAAGGGTAAGAGACAATAGAGGGCGGCACAGAAGCATAAGGAATCAAGTACCTATTTCAGAACCTTTAACTCAAAATGTGAAATTTGTCTATGGAAAACAAAATAAAGACTTACTTTCCAACTTCAAAGCTAATCTGAGGGTCCTGAACAGAGCTTGACTCAGTATCTGGATTGCCACATACTCCAGTTTCGGATTTTAAAGAACCATGCCGTTCATCTTCCTGCAGCTCAAAGGCAGTAGCATGAGGCTAACAGTCTTCCTGTGATGATTATTGAGCAACTTCACTTGGATACAGGACAAACTTACAGCAGAAGAATGTTGCATCCAACCAGGATTGTTGTCTGACAGAATCTTGATATATTCCTCCATTGCGACCTCTGGCCTCATGTTTCCCAGTTGCTGCCACGCATTCCTTGCACAATGGAATTAGGGCCTCCATCACTCACACATAGCAGCTTTCAACCCTGTTATGTAACTAGCAATCAAACTATACCCTGAACGTCTTTCATTGGTTGGTCCTAAGGTGATCATTGGACTCAGTCCATCTGTCTAGTTCAAAACCCCCATATCTTACATGTCTATGGTATATGTTACTCATGAGTCAAGCCAAGGTATTTAATCTATCAATCAACTTTTACCATATTCTGTTCTCGCTTACAAATTTAAGTAGTACTAACAGAGTTGTCTTCTATGAAACAGGGAAGGTCAAGGAAAGGATCAAAATCTAACAATGAGTTAGTTCCTCACTGAAGGCTGTGAACTCTAATTCCAGTCTAAGGGGTGTCTGGCTGAAGATACATGCACACACACATATTGGTTCTTATGCCTATACTATTTTTGTCAGCTACATTTACACTTTTTCTCTGTTGCACGGTAACTCATACAACCCTTGTAAATGTATTTTCAGATTTTCAAAGATATTTTCACATTGATTCAGTTAAAAACAACTAGGCTGCCAATCTTGACAGGTATTTTAGCTTAAAATTGTACCAACTTCCTTCTACATTTCCTCAACAACCACCATATTATGAAAATAGTCCTATTTACTCCTATCTTCCTTTCACTCATAGATGCCCACTAGTTATGTTCAGGATAACAATCACTTCACTAAAGCAACTTAATTAAACACATACACAGAAAAACAGGGTGATAACTTTCTAAAAATCAAGGAGTATGGATGTTTTATCCAAGTAAAAACCATTACCATTTGGCTCGGGCAGAGAACATAAGCGCCATTGGCTGGGGATCATGGCATGGCCCTTCCAATGCAAGTTTATGAAGTGCATACAATTGCACCAGCACATCACTTCCCAAGCTCACCAACTGTTCATCCTTTCTTTTCGCCCCATACTCCACATAATTAACAGCTTCAGCAAACACCTTCTCTAGCTCACTTCTCTCTATTCCCTCCCAGTCATCATCATCAGAAGCAGCACTATGATCGATTTTCTCATCCCTTAGTATATACTTATCCTCCACCCCTTCATTTTCTTTACTCAAGTCCTCTACGATTCCAATCGCATTGCCCTCCTTAGTACTCACAACTCTGCCTTCCTCATTTTGAGGAAGGGAGATATCATCGTAGGCCAATTTCACCTCAGACTTTACCTTCACTGAAACAACCAAATCATCCAAATTTCCACTCACCATTTGAGTGTTGCTGTCATAGACCTTGTCTGCATCAATTGCAGTATGTTTACCCCTTTCATAAACAGCCTCTCTGTCCAACTCTTTATTTAAGTACTCTGCATTAGCAGCCAACTTTTCTCCAGCTGCAGCATCATTTTGATTACTCTCATAACTCATCAACTTTAGCTCATTCTCATCACCAGTACTTTCAGTTTTTATCTCCTCTCCAATCACCACACCTCCCAAGCCACTACCAACCACAACTTCATTCTTTACACTACAAAGATCACCAAATTTAGCATGCTCATTCTTTTCTCCAACAGCTTCTCTATGGAATGACTCATCCAACAATTCAACATCTTTAGACGCTTTTTTGCCTTCAACAACATCATTTTGATCACTCCCATCACTCATCAATTTTAGCCCGTCTTCACCACCAATACCCTCAGTTTTCATCTCCTCTCCAACTAACACATCTCTGAAGCCACTACCAACCACCTCTTCATTCTTTTCACTACAAAGTTCACCAAATGTAGCAACTTCTTTCTTTCCCTCGACAGCCTCACCGTCGATTGCCTCATCCAACAGTTGAACATCTTCAGACCCTTTTTTCCCTTCCACATCACCATCCTTTGCATCCCTCGTCATATTTTCATGAGCACGTTCCTCAACCAATTTCTCACCATAAGCCCTCAGTACTTCAGATTTTTTATCCACTTTTTCACCCCCAAATCCATAATCAGCCTCCAACGACTTATCCAAAATCCCAACTTTTTCGGATATACTTTCACTTGTATGAAAATTTTTAACGGGTTCCTCAGAACTCTCCAGGTGAACAACGTTTCCAACCACAACATCATCCACAAATTTCACTCTCCTTTTCTTGCTCTTAGCCCTCCCAACTTTTAACCCTTTATCAACCTTCACCTCCTCTGCTCCAACCTTTTGATCAAGATTCTTTTCCTCACTACTGCTGGGAACAGCAACTGAAACCAACTTTGCAATAACAAAAGAGAAAACCAAAGCCACAAAGGCTGTCAGAAGGAGCTCCAGAAACAACCCCATACTCTGCACTCTTCTTTTTCTTTTTTTTTGTCAAGAAAAAAAAAATCCCAACTTTGGAGACTACTATCAGAGGGGGAAACTTGTATATGAGATAAGAAAGATTAAAGTATAACGGAAGGAATAAGAATTGCAGAAAAATATTAGCATTCCAAGAATGAAAGACACCATCAAGTACAAGTTATCAAGGGATATTTACAGGGAAGAGCAAAGCATATTCTCTATTCCCAAAAGACTCTTTTGTCTTTCAATTTCTAAACAATTTTCCATGTTTGTGGGGCCTGGCATTTGGCTCTTCATTGGATGATAGTAGACGAAAAGTGCATAAAGAGCCCAGCTAAATGACGAGATCATGTGAACTTTGCTACAGGTCCTCTGAATCCTGGTACACATTTAATTTTCATCGTGGAAAACATTTTTGTTAATTTTGTTTTACTACATGGTTTTTATACCCGTGACAAAAAAAAAAAAAAGTGGATCATAACATATTATGATGTGAGTAATCTTTATAAATGAGAAGCTTAGACTACTATTAAGATTATTAAGTAATGTTTAAATATATTGATAAAATGACCTCTTCCTTCTTATGTATCCAAAAAAGAAGAGAGAGAGAGAAATAAGAGTTTAATTTAGCACATTATACTAATTTCGTAAAAGAAAAGGGGACCATAATTTTTATGGCAAAGAAAAGGAATCTCGGCAGTAAGGAAATACTTCGACGAAAAATTGGATAACGTTCTAGTTCCTCGGCAATCACAATCACAACCTTGTAGGCTTCTTGCAGTGCATCGATTTCCATAACTTGCAAAATCTTTTTTCCTGGACCGTAGTTAAGGACCTGACCGATTCTACAAGTTAGAAGCAAATTGTGCGGAAGTTACAACATAAGAAATCAAATAAGAACGTAATAAGGCTTAAATTGTAAGATTAAACGGATTTTTTATTAAGCATCCGACACTACACTTAAACTTCACATAATTTGTCGCATATATACCCATATTAATCATTATTGTCGTTCCTTATATTTATATACTTTTTTTTAAATTAATTTTTATCTTTTTTAAAAAAAATCTAACAATTGAAATATATCTGAATCGAATAAACACTTGTTAGACTGCTCCGTTTTAAAAATACCATGCGACTATACAAGTCACGTATGGAGGTGAGTTGATGTAGCTAAATCGCAAATGGAGATAACTTCTTTCCTGTGTCAAGTCAGTTTAACACGAATAATCAATATTCTTAATTCCTTCCGGTGCAAGTAATGATTGCATGTGAGCATTTTCGTTAGGTTGGAACCATACAACTTTGTCCAAATTCTATGCACACGCATAAAAGGGGAACACACGCGACCCAAACAAAATGCCTGTACCAGATAAATTATGCTCCATATAATGTAGCCCCGGCTGACAAAAGATTCTTCTGTTTCCAATACGGTAATTAGAAAACCTTTCAAAATATTCAAGAAATTATGTAAAAAATGATGGTCCAAAGTTTGACCATTAAAATTCAATTGTAGCGTGATACACTTTTTTGGACACGGGAATTACATTTTGCTAGTATTAACTAAGTCAAACGGTGTCACTATCATTATCCTCTTTGCATGAGGACATAAAATATTGTAATTTTTTATGAAATTAATCTTATATACACTGTCACTATTAGACACATAACATAACACGTGTATAAATTTTGAATTAAAAATCTAAAATTTGCGCATGTATCATGTATTTAACCATGAGTCCGTGACAACGTATAAAGTGTTAATGAATATAAAATTAATTCTCTTTTTTTTTTTTTTTTGCAGCGATTGTTTGTTTGGCGGATACAAAAGATCCAGATGCGTGCTTGCTTAGTCAGTAAGCTTATCCTGTTGAATAGGACGGTGTTGTTTTTGTAAAGACTGCTTTCCTTTCATCATTATGGCAGTAGGTGCAAACATGTGATTCCCTTTCCTTACCAACGAAAAGAAAATGGCCACATATGATATGATCAAGTTGGTTTGTTTGGACAGCTGATTATTTTTCCACGTGTCAAATTTCTTTGAGTCTTGTAGCATACTTAGGAAGTATTTTGGATTTCTAATCCACCAATTATTTAGATTCTTCTAGATTGGATTTAAATTTTCCGGCGTTTCATTCTCTTTTTTTTTTTTTTTTGGGTTACAAACCTAAACTATCCTCCATTTGGGTACACAGAAAAAACTTGATCCCGTTCGTTTTGTGCGTCTAAATGTGTAATTACATCTTCGAGAAGTTAAGATAGGTTGTCAAATTGGGATTCTATTTTGTTAACGTTAGAGTAAATTCATTTAGAAGATAGTTGCAATTGTAATCCAATTTCAGTTATCCAACGAACTGTTTCTATGAATCGACTGTGAAGCCCAATCTGTTGAGGAAAAGTCTTCCAAGCCGAAGTACTGCTTAACATTGAAAGCCCAGCCCAAGGAGCTTTGTGAACGGATTGAAATGTTTGTTTGAGTATTGGTTCTTCAGCCGATGGTCATTATAAAACAACGCTATGGGCCTAAATCTCCACTCCAAAATCCAAATCAATAGGTCCTGAAACCGAAACACTTTAATTTTCTTTACTTCTCTGTGATATTTAAAATCTTTAGACACCAATCTAATTTTTTATTTAATAAAAATTGATCAACTCTCCGATTATGCGACTAAAGTGTTAGGTAAGATACAAAAAGAACCACACTCTTTCTTCAATTTATTTTTGTCCCTTCTTTTCTTATCACTTAAATTTCACGAATATATTATTTCGTAAATTAATCTTCCATTGCTTTGGTAAAAATAGTCCAGCACTAATTGTTTTCAAAAATCTGAGAGAGCTTTCCAAAGAGAATAATCATTGAAACTCCTGATTTAGCAAAAATGCTAATTCATTAAACATTTTTTTGGTCTAGTCAGATCTTTAAACTCCCCTTCCATATAAAATAAAATATATTAAGTTATAAAAATATTATCGTAAGAAAAAAATGAGCTACTCAATTCCCATTGTTTACCTGTAAGCAATGCTGCTAGTTTATATATATATTTTTTGACACAGGAGTATCCGGACTTTCGGCCCGACTAATCCCCTATGGCTCGAAAGAAGAGGTTCATTCCTCTCGAACACATTAACCCCGAGACTCGATCCTCAGTGACCATATTCTAAAGAAGAGCAACACACCACACGAGCTACCCCGGGTTGGGCACTGCTAGTTTATACATACACATCACTTTTTGCGAGTGCGGATTAGGTTAGGTGAAACAAACAAAATCCATTACGTAGTACCCCGGAAGATCAAAGGAAAGGACATATAATTTATTGCCCTATCTCCCAACTTCCACCAGAGACAGACAGAGGTTGGACATTTTCTTTCTTTCCTTCTTTCTTTGATAGTGGCATGATCAGCCACGGATTTAAGGGGGGGCTGGTGGGGGCTTAAGCCCCCCCCAAGCCGCCGGAAAAACCCCTACATCTAGTCTACCTTCCAAGCAATGCTGCTCTGCCAATTACACTGATGGCACGGGAGTACGAGGTTTTCACGGTTGTTCCTGTCAAGGAAACATCAAATGGTTCTCGATTCGCTCCTATAGGCCTCATCAGGATGTTCAATTCAGGTGGAGCGGTCAAAGAAGTGGGTTATGGAAAGAACATATGCGTCAAAGCACGGGGATGTGGTACTTTTGGAGCCTATTCATCAGTCAGACCCAAAAGAATCACAGATGACACAGAGGAAGTCCAGTTTCATTTTGAAGAAGCCTCTGGATTGGTAACCCTCGATCTCCCAGTCCCAGTCCCAGTCCCAGAGAGAGCGCTGTACCTCTGGACCATCAACATTGAACTCTAAACAATTAGTTACAGCATTGAAGGCCGCCGGGCCCCATTAATTTAGAATGGAGCCCCAGGCCAGCTTTGCTCTCTGTAAACCTCCTTCAAAAATCAGCGGATGGTTTTGGATTGGATAGGCTCTATATGTTGCGCAAACCCGTCAGAAGAATCTTTTGCTGCACACTCCTAGATTTTTAACCATTTCGCCTTATGAACGAGACAAAAAAGATATCCTTCTCTGTTACGATCTTCTAACGCAAAAACTTATGTCCCGGGGCACGACCCGGATCTTAGCAGAAGCAGCAGGAATCAATTTGGGCATGATGGGACTTAGCTTCGTAGCAACTTTTGACTTTGCTTCTTGTAGCTTTTCCATTGGGTTTGTGCAATATACATATTATTATTGATCCACCAGCTTCACTTGCAGGCCCAAATATTTTCTAGTTGAATTCTTGGACTTGATGGTAACGTGCTAAAAATAAAATCTGAAGGAACAAATGAACAAGCAATTGTTTGTGGCGACGGTTGAATGAGTAGTACTTTTCTTGATCCATTGTAATACAACACGCAAGTTGAATGACTGTCTGGTTGTATATATCGAGAAGGATATTTTTGCAACAATTGAAAATGAGCAAATATTGCAGCGTTTTCAACGGATGAAGACTCGCAGAATGCAATTGCCTCCTCTTCGTTATTCGAGTGCAACAACTACCAATACTTCAAGTGTTAATCAATAACAAATTTTTGGGTATGTATAATTATATGTTTTTATTATTTTTATAATTATTGATTCTAAATTTTACTTATTAAATATATTTATTTCGTCACAAAAAAATTTTTTTAATACACTTCAGCCCCCCAAAAATAAATTTCTGGCTCCGTCCCTGGGCATGATCATCAAGCCAGAGACAAAGCAAAATCAAGACGGTGACCAAAATTTCTTGTATCACTTGGTTAGCGTGTTAGGACCACCAGCTGTTGTTCTTGGCAAATCTTCTTGAATGCGTACCACCAATTTACAATTAATTTATAGTGAGCTCCAGCTGTATGCTGTACAAATTCTTTGACCACTATTCTTAGTCTACCCAGGAAGAAGAAGACCCGCAACGGCAACGCCCCTACAATACCCATCGGTTTATCATTTACGGCCACCCCATGATAGTCTCAAACTACTACTAGTATATTATTATTGTTTCTGCATGGCCGACCATACAATTTCCACCCTCTGTTTATCATCATCTTCGCAGTTTCGGGCTTCAAAAGTCCACTCCTAAATCCCTACCTACTTGGTGCTGTTGCGTCTCATGGCTTCTTTTTTACTCCTTTTTTAAATTTAGGTTTCATTTTGAGTTAATGTAGCTCTTTAATATGTTCTATTAGTGGACTTTC